CACTGGGGCAAAGGATTAGGGCATGAGTTTGTAACCAGACACAGTGAAGACAATGTCACAAAAAGCAAAACAGATGACTCCAATTCCATGAGAAGAAAATGCTTTTGCTCAAACAAAATACATACGTGTAGAATGAAAAAAAGGCAGAGAAGTACAGTAGAAAGAGCACTTGGCTCTGAAATCAGAGGACCTGGGTTCAAATCTCACCTCTGAAACTTATGCTACCTGTGTGGTCTTGGACAAGTCATTTGTGCTCCCTAACCTCAGTTGCCTCAAGTGTAAAGTGAGAGGCTTGGGATTCACGGCCTCAGAGGTCCCTTCTAGCTTAGGATCTTCAACCCTAAGAAAAGATATGCTTCTGCAAATCTTTGTGCACACTGTAATGATAAACACGTAACATCCAAAATCCACAAAGAATTTATACCAAACCCCTACCCCCAGTACATAAGTGGGAAAGGATATTAGTGAAAAATTGTCAAAAGATTTAATGCAGATGTTCAAGAACCTCAACATGACTAATAACCAGACACATGCAGACTCTGCCATTTCAGTTCACACCTATCAAACTGTCAAAGAGAGAAAAACTCAATGTTTGTGGGATATGAAACATTCCCTGGTCCTGGAGATGCAAGGTGGTCCAGCTATGTTAGAAAATCCTTTGGAATTCCACAGGAAAAGTTACAAAGCTGTTTATACCCTCTGCCCAAGCTAGCTGTTCCTACAATTAATTAGGTGTTATATCTTAAGCCATTTATTGACAACAGGAAAAAAACTCACGTGCAAATATATCTATATGTATATAGTCACCCCCCTCAACTCTGTTCCAAAAGATTGAGGAATGTGCTATAAGGAATGACAAATACGAAGATTTCAAATAAATAGAGGAAGATCTGTAAGAAGTGATACAGAGTGATTAGGGCATAATGAAAAAAACATACACAATTAGAAAGCTAAGTGAATAAAAACAACTTTAAATGGTAACAAAAATCAGATTAATAAAGCATGGCTAGTAGAGAGTGATGGATGTGTGGTAGGAGAGCCTGGGTTCAAATACGAGCTCTCCCTGTTATTCCCTGTGTAACCTTTGCCAAATCAAACTTCTCTGGACATGCTTCCTCATCTAAAAAATGAGGCACTTGGAATAGAGAGATGACATGGAACGTCCCTTCCACCTGTAAATCACTGAACACTGGACCATACTGCTACTATTTTGTAATATCTGTCCTCATCCTTACTTTTAAGAAAGGTTTTACAATACTTTAACTACAAAACATTACCAGCCAGAATCCCTCATTTATCTCATTTCCCCTGTATATTTTCTGGAACTGTACAGTATAGAGGATTCAAATGACAGTAATATGAGGGTTTGCATAATGTATCAAAACTTTACAAAAGCTACTTCTAGTGAGTATGTCTTGCTGTCTCTGTAGACTGTTTGAAGATAGGAATTAGGTTTTAGGCTCAACTCTGGCTACACATGAGGTTGAACAAACCAGTATTAGTCCAAAGGGGCAGTCAGAATAAAGACATTTGGTGAGTGGAGCAGCACAACAAAATGAAGACCCCAGGTTCTGTCACAGGTGAGCTTGAGTAAGAAAATTCATCTGTCATCTGAGGGGTCTCAGCTTCCTCATCTATTAAATTAGGGCATTAGACTATTCTTTCCAATTCTAAACATCTGTAGACTCTACCATCTGTTAGAATTGCACCAGCCTTCAATGGACAAAAACTGAGGTTCAGGCCCCTAGATGCAACTTGGTTGAAGACAAGGTAAAGGGAATGATCCACACTTTGAGAAAAAGGAAGGCCTTTCAGGAGAGGGAAAATATCCTAACTCACCTGAGATCTGATTGTTAGGAGCACAGAAGTCATTCCCTTTTTTCTTGGGGAAGAGCAGAGCACTGAGAAGCCAGAACTGGAGAAGGAGAAAGAAGTCAGGAGGAGACCAGTCTCTTAGGGGGTAATTTCCCCTCTCCCCATATGCCCATCATTCCTACAAAGGAAGGAACACTTAGCTGGGCCTACCGTATGCATGAAAGACTGGAGAATGGTACGTGAGTTAAAGCGTTCCATCAGAAATTCAGGCCGGGAACAAACCGATGGTGCTGTCCTTTAAATGAATGAGCTCATGACCATCTGTGTTAGTCAGAGATTCCAAGATGTCCAGCCAAGGCCATGAAGGACAAGCTCCTTTCCCTGAGCGCACATCTGAAGTGAGCCAAGCATCAGCCAGACTCCCTCCCCTAGAGTTCCCTTTTCTCTTTCTTGGTCTCGTCAACCAATTATAGCACCCCTTAAAATGAGAAAGTATTCCTAACATAGGTAAGGATGAGATGTTTCCTGTGCAAAAAGGGAAAGCCAGGAAATGTCACTGAGTTGTCCTGTCAACCCCCTTTTCTAGGATAAGAGAATCTCAGCTTTCTTCCTATCTCCAGTTGGTTTTAAAATGCCATTTTACTGTTTTGGACACACTGAATCTTTTTTGTGTTTTGTTTCTTTTTTTGTGGGTTGTTTCTTCCTGTCTTCCTAGTATGAACTCTGATTTAACATATAATCGCTCACTTGGAGAGGATTTTTATGCTGAGAGTAGCAAATGAGCAGAAAAAGCCGATAAAGCCTCTGTGGAAAACGAAAACTCACCCAAACGCCCTGCCTCCAAAACGCTGCATTGAGTGGCCCTCATTCACCAGGCTATTGAAAATCATGAGAGAGGTGAGTTCTTGGAGTCATTCTCAGAGAACTCAAAAAGATTGTAAACAACATGAGAGGTGCCAAAGAACTGGGAAAGGGCAAAGGTTATCCCAGCTTTCAGAAAAGGAAAGAAAGAGGAATCTAAACTACAGGCCAGTGAGCTAGACTTTGATTCCTGGCAAATTTCTAGACCCTGTCATTAAAGGGTCTAACTTTAATAACTATTCAAAACCATTAATGACTATCATTACACTAATTATTGAAACTACTAATTTAATTACTATTAACAATTAATGACTTACTATCATTCTACTAATTATTTTAAAACCATTAATTCAATGACTATTAAAAACTACTAGGAGACATCTAGAAGTGGGAAGGATCCTGGAGGGGCAGCAGGGCCTCATCTAGAACAGGTTATCTTAGAGTAATCTCATTTTTTTGGGTAGAATGAGGATGACCACACTGGGAGATCTGGCTACAGGCATAGCGCACCCCCTCACCCCTATATCATTATCTGGGAGCCTCTGTCCATGTTGCTCACCTGTCTCCTCCTGGACACTGTCCTCTCTAGGTTTTCATGACCCCCTTCCGTCCTAGCTCTCCCCCTGCTTCTCTGACCTTTCCTAGATCTTCACCTAGACCATGCCCACTGACCATAGGTGACCCCAAGGTTCTGTCCTGTGCCCTTGGCTCATCTCCCTCCACATGATCTGGCTTGCTGACCTCATTAACTCCCAGGGGGGACAGATCAAGTTTAAGCAGATGCTTTCTGGGTCAACAGATCTAGTCTCTCTCCTGAACTACAGACCCATGTCATCCCCTGCCTTTCGAGTATCTCAAATGTACCAGCTGTCCCACAAGCACATCCAAATCAACCTGTCCAAGTCAGGACTTAGTCTCTCCCCTGACACCCTTCCTAATCCCCAACTTGCCCCCTCCTGTCTTGGGCATCCCCATCCTCCCTGTCACTCAGGCTCAGTCTCTGAGATCATTCATGGCTCCTCTCTCTCTTATCCCTCTGCCCCAGCTCTCATCTGTTGTGAAATCTCATCATTTCTCTTCCCATCTCATCCACACAGCCCCTTCTCCACCCACACAGCCACTGTCCCAGTACAGGCTCCTGCCTGGACTCTGGTCTCCCTGCCTTCAGCCTCTCTTCACTCCAATCCATCTTCCACTCAGCCTCCAGAGCGATTTTCCTCAAGCCTGCTCTGACCTTGTCCCTCCCCTACTCCATAAGCAACAATGGCTCCCTACTGCCTCCAGGACCCAAGACAAAGCCCTCTGGTATTTACACCTGGCCCCTGCAGACCTTCGTAGGGCTCCTTCCCCTTTACTGCTGCTCCCCTCCCAGCACTGGACCCTCTGGCTTCACTGGGCTCCTGCTGTTACTCTCCAACAACCCTCCACCTCCCAACCATGTGGGCTATCCCCCAGTCCTGGTAGCCTCTGCCTAGCCTTCACTCCCGGCTTCCCCAGCGCCCCCCAAGGCTCAGCTCAGATCTCACCTTCTGCAGGAGACCTTTCCCCGCCCCCTCCTGCCCAGGGCCTCCCCCCTAGACCATCTTTCACATCCTCTACAGGCACCTGCTGGGGAGGGTTCAATACCTTTACTCGGCCTCCTTACTAGCCTCCCCACCACTTTATAAGGCTAGACAACCAGCAAAGCTACACTCGGACCCTGCTCTGCCCAAATGAAATGGATGAAACACACAAGGAAAATGTCATAATCGGCCCGTTCCAGCGGCCCCCGCACCCTGCTCTGCTCAGCCACCTGACATTACACGCTGCCGCCCCGCCCCAGCAGGGGGGATCCTGCCTTTCCTAGGCACCTCCGACCCGACCCTGAGCCGGCACACAGGAGGTGCCTAATCATTATGGCTGACTGATCGATCCCAGCCTGCCGCCAGGGCTCGGTCCTGGGAGGACCCCTTCTCCTCCCTGTTAGGGGCTCCCTTGTCAGCTCTGCAAGAGGACCCTCAGCTCCTCTCCAGGGCCAGCCCCCCATCCTTTCTGGTGCCCGGCCTCGGGTTCGAATATGGACCCCCACTTCCCCTTCTCCACTCCCGCCCCTGCCCGTTCTGTTCCTGAACACACTCACTTTCATACTCAGACACACACACTTGGACACTCTCACACATTTACACACTTTCGTATGCGGGACCGCTCATTCTCAGAAACTCCGTTCCCTGCGGGAGCGCCTAGACGCGCACACGCACGACAAAAACACGCACACAGGCACACCGACACGCACCCATATTTCTTCACACTTTCACCTGAGCGCAAACTAGAACTCACTTTCACTCATGCACCCTTTCGGGCCAGCACAGACTCGCGTCAAACACACACCCTCCTCCTCCTTTCCCCTTCCCTCACCCACTAGCGGCGTGAAGGCTCGCCCAATAATACTCGGCTCTCTGAAAACCGGGCCGCTTTCTCATCCAAGTACTGCGCCTGCGCGGAATCTGTCCGGAACTACAACTCCCAACATCCCTCACGATCCGGGGGCGGGGCGGGATGTCCGGGCGGCTCTAGGCCTGGGAGACCCCAGACCCCGGCTGGAGCGTTTTTCTCCAGGGGGTGCTGGGAAATGGATGTGGGTCCAGCTTCCACGGTCATTCCTAACTCCTCAGGAAACTTCTCTGGGAAGGGGCTCATCCAGGCTGCTTCTGCGCAGGCGCAGCTCCCGGGCCCAGAGGCGTGGTTCCAGAGCTGGGGGCGGGGCCTCCTTACACGTCATTCATAATGAACACTGCGAGTGGGCGAGGGGGCTGAGTGGGGCCAGTTGGGAGGTTCAGCTGCCTAGCCCGAGCAGAAGCACCGAGGAAGCATCGCGGAGATGCTAAAGTGTCCGAGTGTGCGTGGACCCGCGTGAAGAGACCTATCCTCAGCTATCCTTTCGTTCTAGACCACGTAGAGAGAAACGTTCCAGCTGCTCCTGTTGAGTTTTTTCTTCGAAAAAGAAAACATGTCCCCAGTGTCGGGGTGGAAGGGCGAACAGGGCCACCTACATCCTTCCTGCTGCACTGGGGGGGCCCTACCTGGAAGACAAGAGGGGTGTGTGTGTGGAGAGAGAGAGAGAGAGAGAGAGACAGAGAGACTGACGCGTGTTTGAGTGGGTGAAGTCTGTGTGTGTCAAACCCATCTCCATGGAACTGATGGAGAGTGTCGTGTGGACAGGGTGGCGACCGATGCAACCCAGCGTCTCTGGGACCCTCTGACGGTCAGTTCCAGGGTCTCTTGGTCAGTGCGATCGTGCCTCGTGATCCCCAGGCTCAGTGTTTGCACTACCCGTATCACTGGTCCTGAGAAAGCAATGCTGAGAATGAGCTGAGGCCAGAGGACATTGATAAGGCAAAGGCTGGAGATCATTAAGTTATACTGAGGAAAAGAGAAAGAAAAAGCCACACAACCACTACATTGGGAGAGAAGGAACAGTGACAATGGAGGCCAGGAAGAAGAAGGCAAAGATGCATGCCCAAGTCCTCCTTGATGTCTTTCTGCATAGAAGAATAAAGTTTGGAATGGAAGGAACAGAACGAAGGCTAGAGGGGAGTGCAGACCCCAAAGAAATGTCTCCAGTGGTATCGAGGGCTAAACTGTTCTTGTTGGGTTTTCAAGACACCAGCACAGATCAGTGTCTGCCAGGCTTCTCCAAGTGTGTTGGTGAATGTGATTGCTGAGTCACTGCAGCTGATTTTTGAAAGACCAAGAGCATGAGGAAGTACTGCTGCCCAAATAATCTTCCTAATGCTGCTTTCTAATCATATTGCTCTTTACTTTAAAAAAAAAAGCTTCAGGGGCAGCTAGGTGGCTCAGTGGATAGAGCACCGGCCCTGAAGTCAGGAGGACCTGAGTTCAAATGCAGACTCAGGCCAAACACTTGACACTTACTAGCTGTGTGACCGTGGGCAAGTCACTTAACCCCAGTTGCCTTAAAAAAAAAAGCTTCAGTTCTCCCACACTGCCTTTTAAGTGAAATTTAAAGTCATTGTACTGGAATTTGTCGGGGATTCATGATCTGGCCTATATATTTGCCTTCTAGCCTTGCCTCTTACCATTCTTCATGTACACAACATCCTAATCAAACTGAGCAGAAAGAGATGAAAACTTAGGCTTAACATAAGAAAAAAACTAGAGCTAGGAAACTGTGTACTGAACATTCTTGGTAGAACTGCAAATCTGCCTATGTGTTATTTTGGAAAATAGATTGGAATTGTACCCCAAAAGTTGTAAATTGTGTATGTCCTTTGACCCAAAGATACTAGCACTACTATTATGGGGTGTTGAGAGAAGACTAGCACCTCTGTTGTGAAGGCTGCCAATCCCTTTTCAGCGCTGTTCACCCACCTTTGCTGTCCACTTCTCACCCAATTCTCACTTGTGGCTCCAGGAAGCTGTAGCATATGGGGTGGCCACACCTCAGTAAAACCATCTCAGCAGATGGGCTAAACCAGATTGAGGGAGATGAAAGGTGTCATATCTCTGGTGAGTTAGAGGTCTGTCTACCCTAAGCCAGTTGGCGACTTCCCTCTTGGAATGGGCAGATGGAAACAATTTGTTCCAGTGGTCATGAAGGCGGCTGAAGTTGGCACTGAGGCGAGCTTAGAGCTTGGTCAGGCATCAAAGGTCATCCACTGCATCCTGGGCCATTGCCAGGCATTCCTAATTTTTGTCCTGCCACTAGACTTTGATGACTGGAAGAAAGAGTGAGGCTGAAGACTTTGCAACTCTGCCTCACTTAAATCTAATGCACACATGAGTCAAGACATCACCTATGATGTCATTGGTCCTCTTTGAAAAGAACCCCTCTAAAAAAACCCCAAAACAACACTAGACGTGTACCCCAAAGAGAAAAAAGAGGGAAACGACTCATGGGGACAAAAGTATTCATAGCAGTTCTTTTGTAGTAGCAAAGAACTAGAACCAAAGGGGATGCCCATTTGCCAGCGGCTGGTGTGATGTACGACAGAGCAGTGAAAGAAAAAGGGCAAGGGGAACTGGAGAAAGAAAAGTTGGGCTAGGCAATTTTGAGACTGATGCTCATAAGACTAGTTTATCTTCAGGGTTACAAGATTATTATATAGAAAACAGCTTTGTACCATGAGAAATGATCTACAAGCGCTAATTAATAACATAAACAATCTGATCATCTAAAGATCCTCATTATCTCATGAGAAAATAATTTTAATGCCAAATTTCCTATCTATTGTTTTCCCTGCCCAGTTCTTAAGTATTGTCTGCCCGAATCAGCCATCTAGCTTCAAGGCTAGGCATGAGCAAGAACTTAGAATCAACAAACCTTAACAAACAGAGCTAGGGCAAGAGTTATGGGAGCATGTATCCCAAGGCAAGCCTCTAAAGTACTGACCCCTAAATTCTATAAAGACCTAGAGATTTTCCATAAGCACTCAGCCTCCCATATCTCCCCCTTTTTTGTTTTTTAATTTAAGTTAGTGCAATTGACTCATTATTGATCTGATGGGAGCATATATGAATCTTAAAAATAATGGTAAACAAAACCAAAAATAAATTGGGCTAATGCCACAGGGGAGCATATGCAAAATCAAGGACACGCTCAAAAAAGGGTGAAAGTTGGTGTAATGTGGACAGGATAATATTTGCTATTTTATGTGGGTGAATCCCAAGACAGGGACTGTTTTCAATATTGGAAGTAATATCATGAAGAGTATTAATATTGAGGGTAATACTGGAATCGTGCCAGGCCCCCAGTAGGCCAGCATGTATCTTAACCAATGATATGAGGATCTGAAGCATCACAGGGCAGCAGGGTAACATAAATATATGAATATCTATAATCACATTGCAATAGCCACCTTGTTTTCAAGGTTTCTAACTCATCTCCTAAATACAATACTGATTGCTCTAATAAATTGACCTTATACAATATATCTCTATCAATAGTTTTAAGTGCTAAGCTTATAGTTTTTGCTAAGTCATTTACAAATTATGCAGTTGGAATTTCAGATTGTAGCACAATAGCAATAGTGGATACAATAAGAGAAGCAACAGTGATTAAACTAGTAATAAGGAGACCAATAAATCGTTTTGATTGACTTAGGGGGGAAGTAATAATCTGAAGAGCATGTTCACCAGATGTCTGGAACTATTATTCACGTGAGATGTTAGTAGGGAAAATAGCAAATGATGGTTATTTTATCAAAAGTACAATATAGTCATTATTATCAATACATTGTTTGAGAATACAATTGACACAAGTAACATTCTATTCCAAAGTAGTATTAGACTGAGTAAAATTTACATATCCATTAGACAAACTGGTATTAAAAAATGATGTAACAAGAAAAAGACAGGGTTCAACATTGTTGCTAAATTTTGAAAAACATATAGGTATCCTGGATGCTAGAGATCTAAGGGTAATTGTAACATTGGCTCTGTTCTGGAGAAAGGGGTATTCTTGGCTTCCGAATATAAGGGTGTTATTAGCATACATAGTTCCCAATTTGTCCATATATGTGAGGGGTTGCCACCAGGGGGGAAAAGTAAAATACGTCCAGTGCCGAGCACTCTGTACATTACACATTTGGGGAGAAAGTAAAGCTACTATTGCTAAAAATAGAAGTTCAGGAGTCTTCCATTGCTCGATAAGAAGGAGCTTTCACTTGACCCCATATGGGAAGGTGACTCATCACTGTAGATCTGCTCCTTCTGTGCTTTCCCCAAATCCTCATACTTTGCATTTGAGCTGTGAGTTGTGGTACATGCTTGGATATTTTTCTCTGGTATCCAGAGAGGTTTATCAAAGTTTTCTGAAAAACAAGTATACCCTTGTCCCCAAGGTAGTAATGGATCCAAGCCTCTGGATGTTTATTTTTCTCAAGATGTTTTTCGGCTGGAGTGTACCCATCTTTGTTAATATTTAAAAAATTAATAACCAGTTGTCAAAAATTAATAGCCAGTTGTCAATGAGGGGTAATAGCCCAGATACCCCCTTTTTTAAGAAGAATAGTTTTAATATCTTTGTTTTTAATTATATAAAATGCTTGTGATCAGAGACATCTCATAAAAAACATAAAAGGAACAAAATGCTTTGCTAACATAAGCAGGAGCATTATCTGGTTTAATTTGTTTAAGTACACCCTTAACTGCAAAGGCTTGAAAAATATGATTGATTACATGTTTAATTGTTCCACTTGTTTGTAAAGTGGCAAAAGTGAAAGAAGAAAAAGTATCTTCTATAACATGAATATAAGAAGGCTTTTTAGAAGAAGGCATATGAGCTACATGTATTTGTCAAATATGTTTGGGAGAAAAGCCTCTGGGATTAATGGCAAAAGAGGGAGGGTTAATAAAAGTGATATATTTGGAACAGCTTATTTATTTAAAAAAATTATTTTTTCTGTTTCTAATAGTGCAGGGGTTTATGCATTCAAAAATTGTCACAAAATGTTATCCTTTCTACAATTAAGGTTGTTGCATTGGTAGAATATAGTTAATAAAAGGCCTAATAAAACCTTAATAAAAAGTTAAGTGTTAGCATTTTGGTGAAACTGGGAATGAAATTAATAGCTTGTTGTATGGTAGGGGTTAAAAGTGTTGGATAGAATTGTAGTTACGAATCAATAATGGTATTACTTTCAGTAAGAGGTACCAACAAATTAAAATGTACTCATATGTGGGTGATATAGATAGGGTGATAATGTGAATGAAGTAAGTTTTGAAGTTGTTGAAAAAGAGTATATAATTGTGTATTAGCAATATATTTTAACTTTGCAGTCTCTATATTTTGAGAGACATAGAGT